CACAACATCTGGATTTTTTTTTTTTTTTGCAGTTGTCATTATTGTTTAGCTGGCCCAGGCCAGGTTTGAACGTGCCATCCTTGGTGCATGTGGACAGCCCATAGTCACTGTGCTATAGGCACTGCGCCTGTTGGTTCCTTCTCATGTGTTCTTTCTTCTTGTTTACCTTGCTCTCCTTTTTCCTTCTCACTGCCTCCTTTGTTTCAAACAGAAGTCCTTGCTCTTGCAGACAGTATGTTGCAATATGTTGCTGTGACACTGAGGGGCACTGTTGTTTTAGGAGACAGAGAGTACGGACAGCAACTTCTATGGTCCTTATTCCAAACTTAGTTGCCTAAGTGATCAGTGATCACCTGATTATTTCCTCAGCATTCAGACCCTGCTGGGTTGGGATCTTAAAGCTCACAAGAATCCTTCAGGGGCTGGTCTCACAGTTCCTGTGACTCTAGTTCCTGTGGGGAGTGAGAGTTCCTCAGCCTGTCCCAAGAGTTGAGTTCTGATCCTGGCAGGTGAAATTAAGATGGCCATGCTTTAGGCAGCTGCTAAGACCTTCTCAACCTTCCCATAATGGTGGTCCCAGGCTGCCAAGACCTTCTCATACAGTTGCCTTGCCAGCCACCAAGCCTATGGCAAATCCACTCCACTGGCATTCAAATCTGGTTCCTGTATATTATTCAAGTCTGTCTACTCTTCCAAGCTCCACTCAACGCACAGCTTCCCCTAACAACTAAAAACACCAGAAAGGCTTCCTCCCATCCCGGACCTCTGTGGGAGGCCAGCTAATCCCAGTAGGTCACAATCACTTGCCTAATTTATCAGATTTCCACTGCTCTGGATCAAACATTGGATCCAGCTAACTACCTCCTCATTGTGCTCCCTGAATGAGCTATGGCTCTGGGTAAGATCCCCATGCTAGGTATGGTTGGCTTCTCTCTTTTTCCCTAGTCGTTCTAGATCTCAGCTGAATGATCCTTATAGTCAGCCATCTTGTTCTGCCCCCCCATAGTGATTTTTCTACTTATAGTACTCCTTCAGCATTTGTTAGATTTTTCCTTAAAAAATAATTATTCTTCAACTCTAAAGAGTTGTTTAGAGAGTTATTGGAGTTATTTGATTAACTTTAAAATTCAATTCATATAGGAAAGGCACAGCAAATCAAGAGAATGATTCTAGCACTTACTAATTTTCAGAATACAAATTCAGAATTTATCAAATTTCAGAATGAGCAATTATCAGTTGAGAAACTTCCAAAAGTGACCAAATGAGGTACTTTTTTAGTATTACCAACAGTCATGGGCTTTTTTTTTTTTTTTAATTTATTGTTGGGGATTCATTGAGGGTACAAGAAACCAGGTTTCACTGATTACATCTGTTAGGTAAAGTCCCTCTTACAATCGTGTCTTGCCCCCAAGAAGGTGTGGCACACACCAAGACCCCACCTACCTCCCTCTTTCCCTCTCTCTGCTATTCCCTTAGTCATGGCCTTTTTATGTTTACTGTTTAAATTTATTACATTGATTATTCTTTTTGATGCCCAGTGAGCCAGTAGGATAGTCAATAGGAGCCCCTTCAAGTTAGCTCCTAGATCCTTTTGGTATGACTGCCAGCATCTTTGAAGGCTTCCTTGCTTTATGAAAAGAGAAAAAAAAGGGCAGGCTTGGCACCTATAGCTCAGTGACTAGGGTGCCAGCTACATGTACCGGACTGGTGGGTTCAAGCTCAGCCCAGGCCTGCCAAACAACAGTGGCAACCAAAACATCAACAAAAATATAGCTGGGTGTTGTGGTGGGCACCTATACTCCCAGCTACTTGGGAGGCTGAGGCAAGAGAATCGCTTAAGCACAACAGTCTGAGGTTGCTGTGAGCTGTAATGCCATGGCATTCTACCAAGAGTGACATAGTGAGACTCTGTCACAAAAAAAAAAAAAGGCAGTGTCCATAGCTCAGTAGGCTATGACAACTG